TCGCAGAACTATAACCTTGACACAAACGTGACCGACTTACGGGTTTTGGCCGGTACGCTTGAACAGGCCGTATTGATGAACGTGGTTCCGCTGATATTCAGGGACGGATCCAGGATTCTACCGACGGGGTGACGATTTCTAAACGATGTCGTCCGAGGTAGTATGAATATTTTTTCTAAGGAAGTCGCGTAGTGTACTCGCATTAGAATTCCATTTGCGAAGGAGTGGCGGTCGCCGGACCGCCGTGGTGCTAGATCCGCTACTGCTGGTATTCTTGAACAACATAGTAAGGCAATAGAAGGGGAAAAATGCAGTTTTTTTTAGTGTATTAATATTATACTACTGAATAACATTCTATTGCAAAGGCTACTCCTTATTCGGGCGTGATCGAAAAAGAAACCAGAGGTAATAAATAAATAAAAGATAGAAGTTAGAAAAACGATTTATCGCAAAAAGCAGTTGTTACGGTGCCAATAAACATATTCAAGTAACAATCACTTTACTGATTGTAGGTGTGTTTACTACGCAAATTCATACACTAAAAACATATTATTTGGAATCCATAGACAATGTTTAAAGACAGTATTTCATACTACATAGTATATGTATTGAATTGTTTTATCTGTCATCTTAGTGCGTGTATAACAGGGCTCGAACCAGGCCAGACAGCCTGCCTGTCTGCCTGAACCTGTCTGTTACAGACAGGCTAGGCTACAATTTATCGGCTTGCACCAGGCTAAGGCAGACCAGGCCTAGACTGAAATGGATTCAGGCAGATCTTTGAAAACACCAGGCGGCCTGGTCTATGAAAGTTGCGTATTTTTATTCAAAATTTAGCATTTCAGCTCACTAAATCCTGACACGGTTGGGGATATCTTGTTAGTCAGATCAGTTCAGAAAATACTTGAACAAAAACCAAATATTTTTACTTAGATATATTGTTTAGGTATCTGTCACTTTTCTTTTCATCTTCTGTTACTATTATTTGTAACATTTTGTTTATTAAAAAAATTACCAGGCTTCTACAGGCCAGGCCAGGCTAGGCCGAGAGTAATGTTAGGCAGGCAGGCAAGACCCAGAAAATATATCGACAGGCCCGGGCAGAACTAAACATTACAGGCCTGACGCAGGCAGACTAGGCCTCAAAAGGGTCGGCCTGTTTCGAGCCCTGGTGTATAATCTAATCAGTTGTGGACTATGTATCTTCAAATGTCGGTAAATCGCTTTAGATATAAACGATAAAAGAAAAAGAATGGAATCTATTGTCCATGACAATTTGAGTACAATATTAACAGATTTGCCGTCTCAGATAAAATCATTTTGTTTATTTAGCGAAAAATTTAATCACAATGAACAGAAACAACAAGTGAACAGCAGGAAAACAAAATTAACAGAATTTTTAATAACTTTAGAAAAAAAAATATTCAGTATTTTAATTGACTGTTCTCACTATGAAACACTACCTAAAAGTTCGTTAGTCTTGATTGGTTAGGTTCATTATTACTATTTTTACTTGAACATTCATCATTAACTTCTAATACGAATCATTTGATAGGTTTTGACCATCATTTATCATCGACAGTAACCATTGATAATTCATTAAATCCATCGAGTATACACCAAATTTATCCTCAATATCTTGGTCATTCGGGCAACTTCAACAACCCTAATCAGTATTATTAAATTTATTATTTAAATTAATTCGTGTTGGTTCATCGCAACAATTATTATTAGTTCATGTTTATTCGAGTCAGAAACAAGATGAATTATTATTATTGAGTTGTTTTTATCTACTGACACCATTTCTAGTGAAATCAAACTATGAAATCTATCCGGTGACATTTCATTGTTTTGTATTGTTAGTACACTCTATTTATCGTCCACTCGTATCCAATTATATTCATCACATATTTCCTAGATGTCTCCTTGCTCTTGATTATCGTTTAGACATGAAAATAATTGCTTCATAATCGTTCAAATGTTGTGTCACATGCATTAGAACATAACTTACATGTTCGACAAACACCATTTATTGAATATTTATTATTATTTTTATTTAAATGGTTATCATTAGTTGAACCCGATCGATATTGTAGTAAACATCAATATCAATATACATCACTTATATTAGAACGTCTTATACAAGATACATTTCTCGAAACAACAATTGAATATCATCAAATATTGATACGTATTACTCAATTATATATGGAACGTTTACAACTGTTTACTTGTCGACATTTGAAACAATGAATTGATCAAATCGATGATTGTAAGAAAAATAGGCAGTTACATTACACGGGACTCGAATTAACGAAAACAATTTTTCGAGAATTAACACCGCGTATTAATATCCATCGAAATGGATTTATGGAAATAAGTGTAGTTGCACATTCAAACATGTCTATGAACAAGACTATCTAACTCAATCAACTAATGACAATGAAGATCAACTACAAATAACCTGTGCATGTGAATTAAATATTTATGCTGATAATTATGTTATTGATGCGATTAAAACATTGATTAACGTCGAATAGTTAGAGGGGTAAATTAGACGATTTGCTAACGAAAGTTGTTAAGTCAAAGGAGAAGTTCGTTTGACTAAATTTTCAAATAAAAAAAGAAGAGACTTGATAAAAACTAAGGCATTTAGATTGAAAACATATTGTTACCAACAGTTCTGTAAGCATCATTTAAGAAGTTATATAAATCAATTATTTTATAAGTAGGTCAAACTAACGAGTAAAAAGTACATCATTGTTGGATGTTTAGGATGATAACAGGGGTACTATCCCTCTGTTTTCTTAAATATATTTACAATCAGTAATCTCAGATATTGCTTAACAGCATCCTGTTAACACTAGCAGCTCCAATGTATCAACTAGTACTTCGTTGTAGCTAAAACGAAGCACTGATTCCGGAAAACAAAGCGAAAAACTGATGCAATAGCTTTTCAAAGGTGGAAATAACAACTCTTATCCCTGATGAAGCTATAATACGTTTCAGCTCAATCGTTAGAAAAGACCAGTAGAAATAGTGATGTGCTCGTCATTCTGTATACCTATTTCTAAAACATAACATTTGCTGACGTCGTTATTTGTATACATGATACTTTTATGGGTTTAATTTTGTTATATTTTTAACTTAGCCTCGATTGAAGACTTTCATGTTAATTAGAATGATGTTTGAAAAATGTTATTGGAAAATTTATTTGTGTCTTTTGACTATAACAAATTTGTTTCTTCATATTATTGTTTTGATAAAACCTAAAAAGAAAAGTAAAAGTGGGCAAAACACCTAAAAATAACCTAAATTAAAAATGAAATCATTTCTATATGTACATACTATGTTTGTTTGATGATTGTTAATACAATAATCTTCTGTTACTTATTTAACGTTTTTCTCTTACTTCTTTTGTTAGCTACTTGAAAAAGATCTTACTACCCTTTAATTTCTGTTTTCTCTCTCTTAAAGTTTCTTCTCATCTGTTAAAACACAATCGATCTTTAACTAAGGAGTACTTACAATTCCTTTCTCATTTTCGTTTATTCATAAAATAAATTTTTTGTCGAGTGTTCATCGCTAAAAAGTAAATATTGTAGTAAAAACTGCAAAGAACTATTCATTATTCTCGCTCTCTTTGTTTCGACATAACATATCTCTATATATTTTTCTTTGGTTCTATTTCTTTCTCACGCACATACAAAATTATAAAATATATAGTGCTGCGTTGCACTGAATTAATTTACAGTGTAAAAAAAATTCTTTTTTGTTGCACACGTATACGCACGGGGAAAAAAAAGGTAGGCATCATACACAAACAGAGAAACTAAATTCGAAAATAATTTTAAAATCTAATCGTTTCACCAATAAACAACGAGTATGTAAATTATACATATTGCCTTGAGCATTTTAACTGTTGTACGTGGTACTCATTAGAGATGATGATGTTTTAAAGAATACAAATGGAACGATCTGGGGCAAAAAGTCACAAAGATTAACTAAAAAATAGCTTATCTCCCATATTAATCCTTAGCATATTATCCATATTATCTGTTCCCTTTATCCCTTTCCATATAATCCTTCAATATTAATCCTTATAAGTCGCGATGACTCAATAAAAATAGTAGACTAGAGTAGACAGGAAAAACTATTCCGTATAGAATTTAATAATAGTATTATATCCTAGAGAAGAAACTGATAGTGTAGATTAGATATTTCAATCTTTTTGACTTACTCAATTAGATTAAGATCGCCCTACATCATTAATCATGATTAATTTGCATTGTGATCATAGCCTAATCGGGATTAATTTTATCCAGGATTAAGTGATGATTAGCATTAATCACGATTAAGCATAGTATAACGAGCTAATTGTGATTCACGAATATTGAGCAAAAGGACCGGACCGTATGAGGTTAGAAATCAGCCCACTCTCTTTTTCGAGTAAAAGTGGCTTCCTATCAACGCAAAACGTCGCAGTATTCAATTTCAGGTTTCTGGAAAACCTGACTGCTAGAAAACTAAGTCTTTGGCTTTTGGTCAGAAAATCTTTCAAACCATATACCCTGATAGAGCAAAGAATTCTGAGCAAAATAATGTGTCACAGTCGTCGATAAACGCCTTTTCACCGGTATATTATGATAATTTTCACGTCTTTTGTAGACATTCGTAAATCGACAGCAGTTTGGCGAAAGAACGTTAACTACAGCTGTGACACATATTATTTTGCTCAGAATTCTTTGCTCTATCAGGGTATATGGTTTGAAAGATTTTCTGACCAAAAGCCAAAGACTTGGTTTTCTAGCAGTCAGATTTTCCAGAAACCCTATTATCAAGTTTTCTCATAAAAAGGCGATATGGATCTCATCTGATAGAAGAATCTTCCAACTATGCAAAACAGTGCTCTGAATTGTTCCAGCTGTTACTGGAAAATGAAAAAGAAAGGCCTTCTTATGATTAGAACATGCTCTACTGCATAAATAATACTCAAACGCTTGTTTTGCATATCTTTAATGACTGATCCCAGAAGTCTAGATATTCTGAATAGCTCACTTTATAGAGAATTTCAAGGGCTATCCAGCGGTATACTTTTAATAAATACATAATTTTTCATTATGACAGAAAAATGACTAAAGTAGTCTGCTGTACGTGTTTTTCGTACTCTAACACTCGTTTTGTATGTCTTGGTTGGTTTGGAGGTTGATAGGTTTTGCGTTGATAGGAAGCCACTTTTACTTGAAAAAGAGAGTGGGCTGATTTCTAACCTTATACGTTCCGGTCCGTTATATCATTGACAAATTTTTGAACATTGATTTCAGAAAACTTTGTATTTCTCTAATGTTACAAAGCACATCTCTCGATTTTTGTTAAAGAATTCAATAATGGGAAAACAACAACGTCAAATCGCAAACTAAATAATGGTATTTTGAATTTGGATAACAACTACTTTTTCTGTTTAATAACATTCAGCAGGGTAAGCACTTTAGCTGTGCCAACAAAAAAATGAGTTGATTTTGACGCACTTTACTGTTCTTTAATCATACGATTTTACTTTTAATCGTAATGAGCATGGTCTCAATGTATTCTTAATTACAATAAAAAAAAATTGCGATTACATTACAGAATTGTTAATCACGCTCAAATTTATGCATAATTAATTTGAATCATGATTAATGCGGTAATATGACGGTAGTGTTAGACATTCAGAGTATGTTAGTCAAGCAGGTGAACCTCATGTTTAGTAAAAGAAACCTACCGAACGCCTGTGATTCACTAAACTCTTAGAAGACAGATTATTAATTATTCAAGAATTTATCACAAACGAGAATATATGCTCGAATTAACGCCAAAATTTTCTGTGGGCTTAAACTATGCTTTTTATTTGAGAGATAAATACTGCATTTAGTAAACTATTCAATCTAATATGGTATAACCCTTACATAGCTGAATATTCTGCATTTATTGAGTCCGTTCAGTTTTTGCGTCTTATCTCACTTACAAAGTTCGTATAGAAAAAAGTTTATATTTTCACTGAGTTTAGTCTTTTGTACTTTTGAAAAAATGAATATTCTTGAAATTCTTTCAAAGGACGGAGTGGAAAATCCTGTAGAAATCAGCCATTTATCAAATTCTTTTCTTTAGATGTAGATCGGTAGAGAATTCAATTTTATGTAATTCTCCACATTTTTCAAGAGTTCAAAATGCATTTTGAAGGTGGAAA